CTATTACCGATAACCGCAGCCTTCTCCATCTCTCTACACTGTCCTACCCACCACTTCTTGCGGTCATTCCTCAGACTCTTGATGATTTGGCGTTTAAGGGATTTGCGTGCTTTGTGGTAGTTTGAATCCGAAGGAATCGCTTTGCGAGCGTCCAGCAGGGCAACCAAAGACAAGGAGATCCATCGTTTTTTATCGTGAGTTGTTGATTGACATTTGAATCGCTTCTTTCATTGCCGTCCAGTGCTCACTGAGTCCTTCGGCTGATGGTTGTGTTGAGAGACGATCTGATAGTTCCGCTTCGAAGGCTGATTTGCGACCACTGCTGACATTGTATCTTGGGCATCCGTTTTCGGCAGCTTTTTTGCGTTTGCTTCCTATGCGTAAAGAGAATCTCGCTCGTAGCAGAGCATGGTCCGTGTCCACGGTTGTTGACCAGTAGGAGCGGCAGTCTTCAATGGATTCTCGCCAGAGGTGGCTGATGGCAATGTGGTCCATTTGAGTTCAGCGCTGTGAGGCGGTTGGCGGTCTTCATGTAAGACGGCGGCATTTTTTTGTGCGAGAAGTTCGTGCTTGACAGAAACAGTCCGTGGTTAGCACAAAGTTGGAGTAGGTGTTCTCCGTTGTCAGTCCCGTTGGCTGGGATTGCATGTGAACCTTCAAGTAGCCTCTCTGATTCGTCCAGGGATCCCACTTGAGCATTGAATCTCCAGCGACCACCACAATGTCCGTTGACTGAGCACTTTGGAGCAGTAGAGAGAGGTCCTTGTAGAATTCATCCTTCACTTCTGGCGAACTGCAATGAGTCGATGCATACGCCGATACGAAGAATAAGCATCGACGCTTCGTTCTGTAGCTGTTGACTCGAGCTAAACCGTTGAGACGTACAGCGCACAATCGGCTACTGACTGGAATCCAGTCAAGAAGCGAGCGCTGAGCCTTGGCACTTAGCGCAATCCCAACAACTGTAACACCGCGAGCTTCGGATGCCGAATCGCCTGACACACGAAGGGTGAAGCGTCAGATTGAGGTTGGATCAGAACTCAGAGAGATAATGGAAGTGGGGTCTTGTATGCGTGTTTCGGAGACACAGGATACATCTAAATGGAAGTTTTCAGGGGTTCTAGCTAAGACAGCTTGTTGATCAATCTGATAGAGTGTGCGGAAATTAAATGCGACTAAGTGGAAAAGAGATTTTGATTTCAAAAATCTGATAGCCTCTGAGTGGTTGGCCTCATTAGTTGGACACTGAGTGGTATCCGATGGGTGGCGCAAACAGGATGCATCTCTTAAGGTATGGGAGAAGAGGGAAATAGACAGTTGAGAAAGACGGTAATCCAAATGGGTACCTAAGACTTTTAGGCACGGCACACTTCGCAGTTGCCCACACCGACGAAGGGGTTTTTCTTTGGGAACCCTAACCGGAGCCTTCGACTCCAAAGTCTGACCCACAAGGCAGTGGGGCGTAAATCCAA